GCTTGTAGTAGGCTGGACGGAAATTTAAGCCGGATTATCTGACAGTAATCTAGTGAGACTCCCCACGGGGATAGATCGATCTAAAAGCTATGGGAATGCGCCCTTTAGAGTTCAAACCCTCACCGACAACACGCAAAGCGTGGAGAAATTAGTCTTCGGAGGCCATCTGCCAGATGCTGAAGTGGTGTACGTGACAGGCTGATAATTGATTGATTGATTGTTTATGACAAAATGCGGTATAACAATCAGAGGATGATCCTGCGATAACAAACAACCGTTGCACACCTTACATCTGCAATTTTCCCCAAAAACAAAAATAGTTCCTCTTTTAATCAGTTTTTGTGGTTGACAGCGGATATTAAAACAGGTTGGTAATTTAGTGACATGAAGGTTATTTCCCAGTACACGAATCTCACTTTTATCATAATTGGCGTTGAAACATGTAGCAATCCGTGGTATATAGCAAAATTGGTGAGTCCGTACGTATTTCATATATATCATTGAAGGTACAGGCTTGTGTTCCTTTTGACATATTTGGAATTGTGCCAGGGGTTTGGTATGTGTGTGTCTTTTAAGGATGAAAATGTGATTTCCTTAATTATTAAAATGAAGGGTGTTTTTATGAGTAACTTGTTGCACGTATGAATTGGGGATGTCCTTATTTGTAGCTTTATAATTTTGGTGGCGTCAATGTTTTTACCCGGAAAGAAATGTGTGCATTATTGCACATGATTTTGCGAGTTTCGAAGTGCGTGCATGTGTGTGTGTATGTGTGTGTGTGAGAGAGAAAGAGATACCAGGGCCCGTATCTCGAAAGCATCGCGCATTGCGGTCGTGCCCAAGCGTCTCGATTCCGTAACTCGCCCATACTCGTCCCATATTATACATTGTAGCCTCTATTTGATAAAGCGATTCGCAATACGCGATGCTTTCGAGATACGGGGCCCAGTACATGTAGATGAAGTAAGAAAAGAAGAAAAAGATCATCAGCAATTATCTGATATATGTAAGATTGTGCGTTTTCTTTAAGCACCTGTTTTTTTCATACTTTCACACATGATTTATAGCTACAGATATGTATTTCGCCTATAACTGATTTATGGCAAACATTAAAAAAATTATAGATACTGTTTCATTCCAATTGAAATGTAATACTAAAGAGATGTCATAATTACATTACCGGTAGGAGTGTGTAATTGCCAGAGTGAAGGGGTGTGTTGCTTGTTTCCTTGTTTTTTAATAAAACATAATATGTATGGCATCCCAAGAATTTACTGATTATATGCGTTTTTCCCTGAAATGGTGATATTAATCCCATTTGAGAGAATAATCGACCATTTCGGAATGCGTCATTGTAAACAATTTAATTGATATTATTTCATCGAGTACCTTTTTTCGCTCTTGGTGTCTAAATATAGGAGGAGTTATTCTTCCAGAATTCGCATTTTCTACTCATGAGATGTGAATGGTCTCTTATATCCTTGGCACGCCCTTTAGAACATGAATAGCCATAAAAAGCGGCTAACAAAAATCACTTGTATTGAGTTGATGTATTCAAACGAGGGTTGAAATGCGTCCATGAGTCATGTTGGACCAAAATGAGACCCTCGACAGTAGGACGGCAGATAATTGAGAAGAGTGTGTTTTTCAACGACTCTACATCAAACATTTAACGCTGGCAAAGCGATGAGAACAGTTTGTAAAAGACGTGGGTGTAGGGGAGAGAGAGAGAGAGAGAGGAAGAGCACCTATACAATGAATCAAACATTCCACATCAGAATATCAGGTCCCACAGAAAGTTTCCTGTTATTAATTAATAATTTATTCTCCATATCAATTTCCAGATTCCACGCGATTTTTTCACATTCTTCGTGATTCACGCACCACCAACGCCAATTCAAGAAGAAAAATTAATCATCATCTGCAGTAAACAAATTGTTTACATGACCCCAGCTTTTCCTTAATCTCTGGCTGCAAGCGCATGATTTAAATGGCAAAAAAAGGCCTAGGCTGCTCGTCATTATTTCCTGTAATACCAAGCCGAGTATTTGCAAGAACGGAATTCACATCAACGTTGCCGGCGTGGGCAAAAAATGAATTCGAATGCCGACACCTCTTGCACACGAGTGCACCAGTTGTAGTAAAAAATTAATCGCATTTAACTCGATAACAAATGGTTTTCATTGCATAAATTTTAAATTCCACGGAGTTCTAATGTTTAATTCGCACTGCAGTCTTAAACATACTTGAGAGAGACAAGAAAGAAAAGGCCATACACTTAAACATGTAATTTAGCGTAAACACTGGTGTATTCAACACGCATGTGACAAAAATCACTTGGTTTTGTCTCGTTTTGTTCGCTATACATTTTTTTTTTTTGGGGGGGGGGGGGGTAGCTTAGGGGGGAGAGATGCCTCAAAATCAAAGGGAAGGGTTTATCTGTACCGCTGTGCTCTCACCCAATCGATCCGCCCGTGAGTTTATGCCGCCATGATGTTTTGTCACCAGGGTGTCCAACCAAAGCGCTCCTATACTGTCTTCGCCCCTGTTTATTTAGTAAAATCAAAACTCCTCTGAGGCGCTTGTCGCCTGTTACAGTATTTTGCGAGGTTTATCCACTAATGAGATAAAAGAGAGAGAGAGAAAAAAGAGAGAAAGTGTTCCATACGCCTCAACTCATAATTGAAACGACCGGGATAGGCTTTAAGCAGCTCTTTAAAGCAGAAAATCAGGGAAGCAGTTCTTACGGAAGGCGAGGGTTCGGTGTTCGATAACTACATGGATCTGTTCTAGAAAACATTTTTTGTCTTAAAAGTGACTCTATATCAGGTGTATAACACCCACCACATTCTCTGATGAAAGTTTGTTCTTAGACACTTAATCCGAGAGTGGTGAAACTAGTAATTCTGAGTTAAGTTGTTGTTTGAAGAAACTATTATTGTGATTTGGAATAAATATCGCAAAACATTTTTGAATAGATGACAAGTATGTTGTTGACGAAAGCCTGTAATTTGAAAATTACTGAATTTAACACGTTATTCTAATGTATATACGTAAATACAAGCTGTAAAATTAGGGAAATTGAGGCAAAACTCTAACATCTGTTGGCGGATTTGGAATTGGAATTCTTTTATATTTCGTACATGTAAGCGTACCGGTATTTGTTTGTTGCCGATGTGGAGTGAGGGTGTAAGCCCCAGCGTGAGTGTGTTTGAAAAAAAGGAAAAAAAAACACAGAAACACAGAAAAATATGTTTTTGATCCTAGAGAAACCAGCTCATCAATTCTTTATCGTATCCAATATTAACCTCACTAATAACACTAACAAAGAAAAAAGAAAACAATAGTCGAACACCAATAATGAGTTAGCAAATGAATAAATGAATGGATTAAATTGAGAAATTAAAAAAAAATGTACCGCCAAGATATACGAAAAAACCCTCCGTGTCTGTCAGTGTACTTGTTCATAGCTCTGCGGTCACGAGGCGCAGTGATGAACACATTGTTTGTCAGTTATCGGATAAAACTCACCCCTAGAACGTGACGACCCATTGCTTATCTCCTAACTTCACACCAATGCTGTTAGCTAATCGCGTTAACATGAGACAGAAAGGAGGAAAACATTCATGTCTTGCGTTTGAATTTTATCTAAATATAGCTGCAGATTTGCAAAATCTGAATGGATACCGGTATAAATAGGCTGAATAATTCACGTTTGTTTTGACATTTAACAGAAAAAAAAAACACTATGAATCCCATCCCAATCATGCACTTAGTTAAACCACCCAATTTACANAATCAGACCAGGGCTCACTAGTAGAGCACTCGCAGGTAAGGAACTGTCCCAGGCCGGACCTTGGTCAAGTCAGGTATTCCCCCCCCAAAAAAAAAAAAAATAATTCAGTGGTGGCAGCAGTGTAAGAAGCAGTGGACTCCCTCTTTTGTCATCTAGGAAGAGGAGCACTAGTTTAGTGGCTGGCTGGGATAGACCTGAGCTCAACAGCTACACAGCTTGTTCAGCAGTAGTTAGCCAGGACTTGACAACATCTTCAGGGCCGTAGCCCCCGGGGGGGCAGCTGCCCCCCCTGGGATTTGAGGTGCAAAAAAATAATCGCAAAGGTAAAAAAAATAATTCTGATTGACCAATAAATAACAGTTAAAATGCACCAGAATGCAGTATTATACATACAGTTTTTAAAAAATTTCCACACCCCCTCCCACACCCTCCCCCCTCGGGGGCTTAGCCCCCTCGTGTCCGCTTACTGCCCCCCCTAGCATTTTGCTCAGGCTACGGCCCTGATCTTTGGTTTGATCCCTTGTCAGGTCAGGTATTTCCCCCAAAAAGAAACACATACAGTACCTCTCAGACCTGTTCCAGCATTTCTTGGTAACACAGCCAAATATGTACACAGTTCTGTGGTACAGAGAGCCCTGTAGAGGGCAGTAGAGCTGGGTTATCAACAAGAGCCTCTTGCCACAGAGCTCACACACTGGGGTTGGGGGCTCGACATTGCTGGGGAAATCCTGAAATATGACAATGTTTTAATAATAATTAAAATTATAATAAAAATTAAAATACAAGTAATGGCACAGAGCTGGGATATATAAAAGGGGATTCATTGGTACTATAAATACACAACTGAGTGAAATCAAGTTTATCTTTTATAATGATATGATTATGATAAAAACGCTTCTCTGAGTGGTAAAGAGATATTTCACAGCTCAAGACTTTACTTAGTCTTGAGAGAGAGAGAAAGAGAGAGAGAGAGAGAGAGAGATTTTTTCTTAAGAACTCACAGGATTCCCACCAAACTTGTTCGTTTTCCAGTCCGTGACATCATCCTCCCCTACCTCCTCGTCACAAACGCCTAGCAGCACCGTCTCCATCTCGCCTAAACAGCTTGATCAAAGTAACACAATATAATAACTCTCATCACACGACCAGTTCTGGGGTGGTTTGTTGACGTCCTCCAAAGCCATGTGCTTCCGGTGTTGGAATTAGGTCAACGCGGTGGATTGTGGGGCGGTGTCGGCAGCACAACAAACCCGATCAGGGATTTTCAGGAGCTCTCAAAGTTTTATTTTAGGCCGAAAAGTACGTCAAAGGACTAGAGGGAATATAGGGATTGATATAGGTGTCTCCACATCATGTCAAATACGGCAAAGAAGAAGAAAGCGTAAGTATGGACCGCGACTCCAGTTTGTTTACATCCCGTCCCGAGCTAACGGTGAGAGCATCTGACGATGAATCAGTTTGCTGTGATTATTTGTTGAATTTTAACCCCAGATAAATCAGATTGTTCAATTATATGAGCCCAAAGAATCACTTATGTTCTCCATGGATTTTATGTTTCGACTTCAAAATTACCCCCTCCCCGTAAACGGCAACCCTGTCTCCATGCTCCCCCCCCAGTCCCATCGGCTGGTACAACCCCCCTCCCCCGTACAAATTTTGAATCTGAACTCTTAACAAACGTTCCAATATTTCAAATGTTCGAAAGTACCTGATACATTAGTTTACTCCATGTTAATATTATAAAGAGTTTTAATGTGTTTGTAGTCATATGAACATGTTAATCGAGGGAACACCAGAAGTTGAATGATTTATCGTAAGAATTGATAAATTTAAATTAAATTTTGAACTGATTTTTTAATCAGGATTTACTTACACAATTCCTTAATTAATTAATGAATTAATGAACTGCTATATTCTTCTTATTATTATTCTTATTAATATTATCTCTACATTGAGTTAAGCGTTAAATGTTGTAACAGGGCTACACACTAAAATTACAGTTGAAAAAAAAAAAAGATGACTGCGCTTCCACAGGGCAATAATGTCCTGTATTTGATGATCCCCTCGTGACAGTCCCATGCCTTCTGCCATTTAACATCTATACATGCACAGATTGCAGGCAAAGCAGGCACAGCTATCAGATAACGGTATCTGGCCATCGAAATTGTTGACTGAAACACTGAATACAATCCAGAACACCGCAGATATGATAACAGTTAATCTCGCCTATCTCCCTTTATTAGCTACAAGTACCTGTATCTCTTTGTATTACTAAATGCCATGATGGTATATCTATACATCTCTATTTATTTAGATAAAAAATGTTTTGATTGTTTGTTACATATATATATATATAAGAACAAGTGCAGTTGTGGTTGAGTTTATTATTGAGGCCATTCAGAGTAGAAAATCCAAGTATCAACTGACCCAAGGATCAAATATGGCGGACCCTACATGAAAGGAAGACTGCTTAATCCTGTAATGGTCTCCCCGCCTGTCACACGCCTCTTATTAATTAAACTTTGGCTCCTTTCTACCAGACGCGTGGAGAGGCTAGTGAGGGGTACTTAGATGTGTATACCCAGCTCCTATGTAACCACACCTACTACAGATATACCAAAACACATGTCAAGTCAACCATTCATCCAGATAAGAAATGTTAAGAAATATTATAAGTTTTCCTCCTGAATGCTGTGAAGATTCTTTCTATCTATAAATATAGGGGTTGAAGTAGGGGTCTGGTCTCGCAGTGGAGAAATGGTACATTTAGAAGCTGTGAGCGCCTAATACGGCAGCCGGACTGTATCCTCCCCAGGGAGGCGAGAGCGACAAGTAATAGTGTGTAACAGGGCCAAAATGACCAGGCTTCCTTTCACTTGTGATTTAAATAAAATATATATGTACAATTTCTACCCTCGGGTATTCCACATCTCAATAAAGATTATAATTTGTTGTTTGACCTGTTTCAGTGACCTGAAGGTGGTAATCGTGGGGGAGGCAAGTATCGGGAAGACGTGTCTTATACGACGGTACATTGAAGGAACATTTGATCCTGATACATCTACAGTAAGGACAGTGTTCATACACACACATACATTTGCCAACTTTTTGTTTATTATAATGTATCTTGTTTCCATAATTTTCATAATATTAAAACTGATGTGTCATAGATCATTGACATAGCATTTGGTGCAGTGAGCTATTTTAAATTCATAATCAGCTTTCACTTTCACTTCTGCACCTCTGTAGCATTTATAAGTATGTATATCATCAGCCAACTTTTAAAGTTATCCGATTATAAAAATAATCTGTATTTTTAACCTAAATTTGTTCCTTGCAAAAATCTGTTTATTTTTCAGACTCTAGGAGCATCGTTTTATTTGAAACAATGGGGAAACTATAATGTTGCATTATGGGTAATTGATCCTTTTTTGCACAAAATAATTCTGTACAACTTGTGGAGCTTCACTTTCATAGGCTACAAACCAGCTATAGTTCTTTTTGGTTTTTATAATAAAAAATGTTCCTATGGAAAATTTATTTTAGAATTGAAATGCCAGACATTTACAGAACTGTTATATGCAAAGATGACTTTTTAATTTTTTTTATTGAAAATAGTTTTTAAATATATATCTGTTAAATTCATGTAATGTTGTGAAATATGAAACATTCAAAAGTTCTTATTAAAATCATATTATGTAGATGTTATTACCCTAAGCTGTAGTAAGTGTATATCATCAGGGTTTCATTTGTCTACAGTAAAACCTCTTCTGAAATCTAACAAACTTTCTATTTCACATCACCTGACCTCTGTGACCTCTGTGACCTTTGACCTCTGATATTATTGCGTCTCCAGGACACTGCGGGAGAAGAGAGGTTTTCTGGTCTCAGCTCTTTCTACTGTCGTGGTGCGTCGGCGGCCATCTTAGCCTTTGATCCTTGCTCCCAGCAGTCATTCCAGGCTTTGAGGTAGAATACAACAGAACAAACAGTCACACAACTCAAAATATTCACAGATCAAAATATGTTTCTACAAGTATAGATCATATCTTTATGCCAAAAATCATCCACAGGGGGGATCGAGAGCTATTTTCTCACAGTCTTCCAAATTGTCTTTGTTGATCTGTTCTTTCATTTTAACCGTATTCCAACAGAAAAATTGTAATGTAAACTTGAAAATCTGACTGTCTTCCGGAAGACCCAGAAGACGGCCTCAATCCACCCCAGATCCAGACAAGGTTGGCACAAAGTAATACATGTATTCTAACAACTATATCACAGTACCAGGCCTACCCAACTACCAGACTCGGCACATAAGGATCCTGAATTAACCGGTATACTGGACCACACTACCCGTTTTCAAGGTGTGTGTCAGATCACATTTCGGAGTATCATACCCAGAACAAATTTTGTAGGACGACCGTGGGCTCATCCTGTTGGTGTTCTGACTGATACTCCGAAATGCGATCTGACACCTTGAAAACGGGTAGTGTGGTCCGGTATACCGGTTAATTCAGGATCCTTATGTGCCGAGTCTGGTAGTTGGGTAGGCCTGAGTACAAAAAAAAAATAACCATAAAAGCATTCAGACCACAACTCAAGTACACAGTACTTATATATGCTCAGTCAACACAACATATGTGAGATAACTACCAAAAAACCTGCCTAAGACATCCTCGTCTTCCATCTGAGAGACATGGCCTGAACACCGTAGCTGCTTTCCAAGGTGTAATTGCCTCAGTGTTTGACACTTAAGCTGTTTCTCAAAACTTCAACATGAGATATATATTTACTCATAGCTTTGTCACTTTATACACAAAATGGAACAAAGACAGTGCTGGTGGAAATTTGCTAGTAACTTGATCACAGGACAGAAACATAGCACCAGAAAACATATGCAGTATATGTAAGACTTTAAGGCAACTTTTATTATTATTATTATTATTATTATTATTATTATTATTATTATTATTATACACTATATTAATAAGTAGATAATTGACTATTTGTGTATTTCAGAGAGAGATTTGTTCCACTCCTGGAGGCAGCTGAGAAAGACTGTCTCCATGTTGTTGTAGCAACGAAAGCTGACCTCGTGTCACCATCAACACGCGCCGTCACAAGCCAGCAGGTGCTTGCATTTGCACGCGAAATCAATCAGCATTTGCCTCCAAAGGATGACAAACCTGTGATACCCTATTTCGAGACATCCAGTCTCAGCGGACAGAACGTGAAACGGTTGTTTGAGTACATATTTGAGCACTGTTTGCCCGAGGGCGAGGAGCGTAAAAAACGGACTTCAAGCTCAGTTGATCTTGACTTGGAAAATGTCAGCTCTGCGGAAAATAAGAAAAGTTGCTGCAAAACGTGAAAAGAAGAAAACGGATGCACCTCCTGTAAATTTAGAATTATGTTATTTTTAGAGAAGTGTATATGTGCATATTATGTGCATATACATACTGCATATAATTTGATCATTTGTCACTTTATTTTAGAAGACTAAACTGTAGCTGCCAAAAATATTCACACAAGGAGCAGGAGGCATTTTACAACGGAAGTGGCAGACTCGCCATACAATTAATTTATAGGTTAAATTTTTCTGCCCAGTGTATTTTGAACTGTGTTATTCTTGTTCAAGGAGTCTTTTTATGAGTACCATGTATTGATGACTGACACTCCAGAGAAATGAACAATACGAAGCCTTACATTTGTAGTTTAAAGAAAATGTAAAAAGGAAGAGATTAGTTAAGTATTTTTATGTGGACACAAGCATGTTACCTGCTGTTTCAGCCTATATGCATTGAAATGCTGTACAATTGGCAAAGGCAGAAGAAGTGTGCTTCACTTAGCATGCTTGCATATTAAGTACTCTCCCAGACAGGGGTGGATTGAGGCCATCTTCTAGGTCTTCCGGAAGACGGTCAGACTTTCAAGTTTGTGGGTATCTTATTTTTCTACCGGAAGATTTTCAGAAATGGAGTATGGATCAACAAAGAGAATTTGGAAGACTGTTAGAAAATATCTCTGGATCCACCCCTGTCAGAGATGCTGATGGTAATAAGTAAATCAAACCCCCCCCCAGTCGTGCCCTCACCTCCTAATCCATCCTATAGGCATCTTGATCAATTCTGAAAAATGGTCAACAATTTTCCTCATGACAATGATTTTGAACAAATTTTTAAAATATACAATTTCTTAAAATTCAGTTTAAGTGGTTTCATATTTGAAACTAAGTATTTTTGATTAAAGCTTAATCAAAAGTGATCACTTTTTTTGTGCTAAGGACTGCTGAAATGACAAAATATCAGCACTGATGTGAAATGTATAGTATTCTCACATTTCCCCTGGTTTAGAACTTGCTGAAATATAAAGTCAAGGAAAACCAAGAAAGTATTACCAAGGGTAGCTTATTTTTATCAACTATAAATTCCATATTGTCCAACTTACAGTTTATCTGTTTATGTGGATTTTTTATCAATTATGCAAGTAATTTTACAAACAAATTGTGATATGGGCACACATGCCAATGTATATGTCTTTAATAAAAGGTTCTAGATTTATTTCGTAGCAATGACAGTAGATTGTTGGATGTGACAGTTGATTGTGACAAGTATTTAAGATATGACAAGAGTGGTAGCTGTGACAAATGATTGTGTTAGGTGTGACAGAAGTGTGGTAGTTGTGACAAATGATTGTGTTAGGTGAGACAGAAGTTTGGTAGCTGTGACAAATGATTGTGTTAGGTGTGACAGAAGTGTGGTAGTTGTGACAATAATTGTGTTAGGTGAGACAGAAGTGTGGTAGCTGTGACAAATGATTGTGTTAGGTGAGACAGAAGTGTGGTAGATGTGACAAATGATTGTGATAGGTGTGACAGAAGTGTGGTAGCTGTGACAAATGATTGTGTTAGGTGTGAAAGAAGTGTGGTAGCTATGACAAATGATTGTGTTAGGTGTGACAGAAGTGTGGTAGCTGTGACAAATGATTGTGTTAGGTGTGACAGAAGTGTGGTAGCTGTGACAAATGATTGTGTTAGGTGTGACAGAAGTGTGGTAGCTGTGACAAATGATTGTGTTAGGTGTGACAGAAGTGTGGTAGCTGTGACAAATGATTGTGTTAGGTGTGACAGAAGTGTGGTAGCTGTGACAAATGATTGTGTTAGGTGTGACAGAAGTGTGGTAGCTGTGACAAATGATTGTGTTAGGTGTGACAGAAGTGTGGTAGCTGTGACAAATGATTGTGTTAGGTGTGACAGAAGTGTGGTAGCTGTGACAAATGATTGTGTTAGGTGTGACAGAAGTGTGGTAGCTGTGACAAATGATTGTGTTAGGTGTGACAGAAGTGTGGTAGCTGTGACAAATGATTGTGTTAGGTGTGACAGAAGTGTGGTAGCTGTGACAAATGATTGTGTTAGGTGTGACAGAAGTGTGGTAGCTGTGACAAATGATTGTGTTAGGTGTGACAGAAGTGTGGTAGCTGTGACAAATGATTGTGTTAGGTGTGACAGAAGTGTGGTAGCTGTGACAAATGATTGTGTTAGGTGTGACAGAAGTGTGGTAGCTGTGACAAATGATTGTGTTAGGTGTGACAGAAGTGTGGTAGCTGTGACAAATGATTGTGTTAGGTGTGACAGAAGTGTGGTAGCTGTGACAAATGATTGTGTTAGGTGTGACAGAAGTGTGGTAGCTGTGACAAATGATTGTGTTAGGTGTGACAGAAGTGTGGTAGCTGTGACAAATGATTGTGTTAGGTGTGACAGAAGTGTGGTAGCTGTGACAAATGATTGTGTTAGGTGTGACAGAAGTGTGGTAGCTGTGACAAATGATTGTGTTAGGTGTGACAGTAGATTGTGGTAGCTGTGACACCAATCTCGTGGACTCTCTTAAAAAATACCTCATAATACAACGTGTAACAAGCATGCTTTATTTAAGTATTGTTTTATTTTAAGGTACTTCTTATCCTCCCAACTGAAACATAGACTTATATGGTACATATGAAATAAAAACTGTTGTTTTGACTCTGTGATTAGGTGCATTGGTACTATATGTAAAATTTAACACATAATTCCTGTTCATTGACACCACTCGAGTCTATGTACAATCATTACTAATAATTCATTATTAAAATATCATATAAGTACCTGGAATAATTATTACGTGCAAGAAGACAATTATCAATAATAATAATCAAAATATATTTGTCATATTTAAATTATAGTATTCAGACACAGACACAAATGTGGGGGAATATCCCAAAATGAAAATGGCATCCTCTTAAACTTCAACTACAGTCTGCTCTTCTCAAGGTAATACCTCCATCGTTCTCAAGGTAAAGCAATTCAAGTGCCAATTCCCTTTCCTGTTTGTTGTTTTGCCATTAGTAACATTAGCATCAAGAGATTAAGAACTCTTCTGAAGGTATGATATAATAACAATACACTGAGCAACTGTTTTACTGAAATGGACTTACTAACACCGCTTCTGCATTTAAAGATTTGATTCACTCCACAGAGTAATACTTTAGTGATTGAGCTAGGTTTTTATAAGTTGAGATACAAAGTAAGACTTCAGGTTATTTCGAGAACACTAAAGATTCAATTATTTCCTCCAAAGAATAATATTTGTCAATATTTGCCAAGATTTTCAAGTACTTAGAAAGTATTTTACAAAAGTATTACTTGCAAGTTGCGAGACATTGCAAGAGGTGGCACTACTGGTCAAGCACTACCTGCAAGACATCACTTTCTGACAAAAGGCAAAATATATATAACACAAGAGCAGCTGTCAATTACACAGAAGGCCACTTCTTTTTCTCAACTAGGAAGGAAGGAAGAGGAAGCACTGGGAAATTTTTTAAATGTATTCTGAGCATGCATATTTTCAATATTTGTCCTGTCATTGAACGCCATCACTTGCGGCAATGACTCCATCTTGTAAATGGGGGAAAATTGAATTTTACAGATGCTGTATTTTTAAGTCATAAATTCTTTAAATTACAACATTCCTATTGAGTGGCAGCAATAATATTGAAAGGCAGGCCACCCTATAGTTCTATTCTATGCAGCTGAAGCACCACAGAGGCTAAATAGAAATATAATTATATAACTGAAGGATCAATAATTTTTGCCCATTAAAAAGATGAAGTTTTTTCTATATTTGTAAGCCTTTCACTGGAGACTAATGAGGAAATGATTCAAAGTTTGGAATGTCTTATAACTCAATATAACATACATGGAAGAATAAAACCATGACAACCAAGTAAACTGGAACACCCACTTCTTCTACCTGGAATCCCATCACTGCTATCAACTATAATCTATACAAAATTTCAAAACTTATTTGGTCTTGAAGGAATGAAGAAACTAATGTTTTCAATATATAATGTACAGCGTAAAACTGTAACTTCTATCAACACAAAATATATACTAATAGTGACCTCATTTTTCATTATTTTCTATAACATTATTTTAATATCAACTTATTATTTTTTAAACACTAATTTGTCATCATTCTTTCCGTTGCATTTCCCTTTTTTTCTCAGCTGAAACTAAGTATCATACATTAAATGTAGCAAATATTGGCTTCATGCTAAAATAACGTCATCTTACTCAAAAGGCTTTAAAACACTGCAAATTCATATTTTGCAGTATCATTATCAGACAAAAGACAAAAAAAATTGATATTTGTCTTAGTCCTAAATAACATGTCACTGTCAATCATGAGAGAAAGTCATCTTCATACAGTCTCCCATCACTAGTACGTATGGACAATTATGTACAGATTATTTCTATATCATTTCTATATCAGACACTGTCACATTCAATATATGTACCTATACACAACAACAGGCCGCTTCCTCCAGCTTCAAAAAACTTCATCCTAATATCATTTTCACTGTCGAGAACAAATAAATATAAATCCCTTTGAGAGAACATTCTTTCAAGCAAAGAAATGTGGGGAAGCTCTGGTGCTGTCTATCATCTCTTTGTTTATCCAGAACCACTCTGCTCTGAATGACATCATATGAAGACTCTGAACAGCCCTACTGCTGAGCTGGACACCTTAGGGTCCTTATTTTGCCTACACAATACCAGGAAGAGGTGACTTTGGGAATGTCACGCCCACAGTGAGGTTGCGAAGATTGTGTTAGGAGTTCCAGGATTGCGTTAGCTGAGACACTGCCCTCTATCCCCCAGAATCCTCTACAACTCTTTCCACAAAAGAGGCTGGAAAGAGTCCTTTTCGATGTGGTTCTCCGTCTACCTCTCCTTCCTGAAATTAATAAATGACAATGGCACTCGATGACACAGAAGGAAAAATGTTTAAAAAAGCTCTTTATGTGCATCTAATAAAACTTATATTGCTCAAACTTACAAACAAACCTTTTATATTTTTCATATATGTTTGTATTCTCACACAAACAACCAATGAAAACCCGTGTACTTACCCACCAATCCTCATCCTCCTCTCTAAGTAGTATGATAATTTCTCCCTCTTTGAAAGACAATTCATCGTCATTATCAGCATCACAATCGTACAATGCCCTGCATTTCCTTTGTCTCCTCAAAGACATTTTTTTCTACAGAAAAGGAGAAAAAAACAAGAAGTGAGGCCAATCCACACCTCTTGATGATGAAATATTTAGAATAAAGCCTGAGAACAAAGTAATTGCCAAAAAAAAAAAAAAAAAAAAAAATAATAATAATAATAAAATACTGACACTAAAAATTCAACAATTAATGGTGAGCAAACAAAAATATTATCTTCCAGCCCCGTGACAGGAGAGGATCCAGGATTATTTGAAGGGGGGAGGGGGGTCCTCGGATGCAAAGCCGACCCTCCCCCCTTGGCAAGGTGTTCGGGGTCCACCAAAAAGCCCGAAAAACTTTGGTACTGTTTAGAACTATGATTTAGCTGGTCAAAATTCTCCCCCCTGACCCTCTCCCCCCCCCAAATCTGCCACTTGGTGACCACTGGCAGAAATACTGAGTGTAGGTGGTGTTAAGGACTCATTACCTTAGTCCTGGGGGAGTAAGAACTCATTACCTTAGTCCTGGGGGTGGGGTGCGGCTGAAGACCTCCGCCCGCTGCCGAGTCCGTGGAGTCCAGACTCTCGCTGGATCTCCCATTAGATAGACGTTCCATACTGCTGGCAGCTTTGACAGCCTCGGGCTGGGAGAACACTGGAGCGCCACCTATAGTACTTCTTCTTGGCGCTGGAACTGGCTTATCGCTTGAGGCACTGGATGTCCGCGACTTTTTACCGCTGTTGCTGCTGCTGAGATGAAATTAAGTAAAAGTAAAAGAAATTAAGTCAAGTAAAAATAAGGCAGGAATTGTGTGTTGGGGGAGTGTATGTGTGTGTGTGTGAATGCGTGCATGCATGCGCTGACATGCATGTACATGTAATGTGTCAACCACATTTTCACACAATGTATGAACTATACTTAAACTGTATAACTTTTTTCATTATCTCTTTAATAAAGACAATAAGAAGGTTGTAATAATAAGATGCTCACCTGTGTGTATTTTACTACATTAATTTTGAGTTTGAGAACCGCAACTGTCCATGTCTTACTCTGTGTCACATATATCTACATTGGCCCCATTCAGAATAGGGGACTAACTAGTCCAAGGGTCAAATATGGCCGACCCACTTGAATACTTTCCCATGGGATATCTATTCAGTGTCTATTAGTGGATTAAATGGCAAGCTTTGTAGTGGGTCGCCACAGTTGACCCCTGCAATAGTTAGTCTCCTATTGACTGAGGCCATTGTCTAACTTACACTGCGCCAGTCTGGTTCCTGAACTGCAGAGGTGGCGGTAGCACCAGCTTACCACCAGGCGGTGCCTGAATCTTATCCTTGTTCTTCATGGGTAATGGCGGCGGCATGGAGGGGTCTGACGGGACGCGGGCACGGTTGACCTGATCCAGGTTTATACCTGAGGAAGGAGAAAATAAAGGTCATGTGTTATTACCAACAGTTCCATGTTAGACTGGGTTCCCATACTTAGATCGATCCATCTGGATCAACCTAACTCCCTGGGGGTTCACGCTAAATTGCTATCAGCTCTAGCAGCATACATGTCTGTCATTAAACCAGTTATGTTGATAGCAATTTAGTGAGACCTCCCAGGGAGATAGATTGTTCCAAAATATCTGTGGGAATGGTTCCTAAGATTCACCATTCTATAAGCTATGTAGTTGATATATGCCAAGACTGTTGTTTATACTCTCTACTCATTGTTTTGATAGTGTAAATTATATCTCACAGAATCATAAAACAGATTTTTATATCTGTATTCTCTTGCACTTGGGCCTGTTGGACATCACACACAAACATTCACACAAACCTGCATGCACGCACACACACATGCACATTCACTACTTACACGTCACTAATATGAAACAAACTGAGCACAAAGCAATAAATATCTAGATCAGGAAATTTAATTTCTTTTTCATGCTTATTGTTTCCATAAATCTTTAATTCTTCAGATCCTTGTTTAAATCTTGAAAAGACATTTTCAAAAATGTGCTAGTTATGATTATCATTCATTTACTGAGTGATTGGTTGGTTGGTTGATTTTTTTCTCTTTTTTGGGGGGTGAGGAGGGGGGGGTAAAGGACTGTATTAAGAAAATGTTGATTAAGTAATAGAAACAAGTGTCTATGTTAAACCACCTTCTAACACATTATACATTATATTGTACCACAACCATGCATATTATATATCATCTGTACTTTGGTTTGAGAATTTAATCTTTCAAGTTTTTCAAAGAATCAGTTATGTAAATCTTTTAAGATTAAAATAGTTATAATAATAATAACATCATAAGACACCTCCACATGCATTAATATTATGTTCATGCACATTTAGAAACAGCAACTTACCACTGGGGTCTGAAACCATACGGGTGTGGCCACTCCCCACCCCTGGGGGAAGAGGGGCGGGGGCTTTTTTCTTCCCAGCCAACCCCACTGAGACAGAGGCGAGGGGGGCGGTGGAGGAGAAAGTCAGGCCTGGAAGGAAGACGAGGGAAACACAATGATGATGATTGCGTTAGTTGAGACGTGGTCAGTATCATCATTGTGCTGGGGAGGGAAACACAATGATGATGATGATTGCGTTAGTTGAGNTGAGACGTGGTCAGTATCATCATTGTGCTGGGGAGGGAAACACAATGATGATGATTGTGTTAGTTGAGACGTGGTCAGTATCATCATTGTGCTGGGGAGGGAAACACAATGATGATGATTGCGTTAGCTGAGACGTGGTCAGTATCATCGATGTGCTGGGGAGGGAAACACAATGATGATGATTGTGTTAGTTGAGACGTGGTTAGTATCATCATTGTGCTGGGGAAGGAAACACAATGATTATGATTGTGTTAGTTGAGATGTGGTCAGTATCATCATTGTGCTGGGGAGGGAAACACAATGATGATTGTGTTAGTTGAGATGTGGTTAGTATCATCATTGTGCTGGGGAGGGAAACACAATGATGATGGTTGTGTTAGTTGAGACGTGGTTAGTATCATCATTGTGCTGGGGAGGGAAACACAATGTTAATGATTGTGTAAGTTGAGACGTGGTCAGTATCATCATTGTGCTTGGGAGGGAAACAATGATGATGATTGTGTTAGTTGAGACGTGGTCAGTATCATCATTGTGCTGGGGAGGGAAACACAATGATGATGATTGTGTTAGTTGAGACGTGGTCAGTATCATCATTGTGCTGGGGAGGGAAACACAATGATGATGATTGTGTTAGTTGAGACGTGGTCAGTATCATCATTGTGCTGGGGAGGGAAACACAATGATGATGATTGCGTTAGTTGAGATGTGGTTAGTATCACCATTGTGCTGGGAGAGAAGAGGGCAGTGTGTTGGTTAATAATGCCCCTCAATGGTTTACCTTTACCATACAGATAACACACATTATTGTTTAAAGTTAATTCATTGTTGTACTATACATTAAATATATTGAAAACAGTATATACCCCGGCTAAAATGTATTGTTAAAGAATGATTTCAACATGTGCCATAAGAAAGAGTATTATATTAATTATAATAATTTTGTTGGAAAGAGATACATGACAAATGATACAATAGTTATAGTAAAATATATTTACACCAATTTGTAAGTTTGTAAATTACAGGAGAGAACGTCTCCCAAGAAGAATGAGAGAGAAACATGCAAGAAACAGGCATGTCACTGATTAATTAGTAATTGACAAACAATAAATTAAAGTGAACAATAACAAAGTTTTGATACCCATTTTGTACAAAAGTAACATTCCTGCAGTCAGTAATGTTTGCGTTGACATCTTATGAATATGAAATGCCTGTGAAGTGTACCTGAAGAAAGATGCCGGGTACTTCATATAAAACTACAGAGAGAGTTCCCCATGCTGTCCTTATATACATGCTGTTTACACAGACACAACACTGGTGTGGTTGCTCTGTTTGCTAACCACAGGATACACGTGTTACAAAATTCTAGGCACGTGTATGAAACTGTGGGAAAAGAGGGCTTCATTCTGTCCACTAATCTCCCTGACTGAAGAAACCTTGAACACCCTAACTGTGTCAGTGACTGGGTCTGTAGGCATCGCACAGGACTAGTGACAGGACAGAATGTGTTAGATGAGACACTTAGATTGTGGTGGATGAGACAACAACACATCTCTGGGTTAACAGAACTGTAGGGGGCGCAGTAGGTGTGACAAGACAGGCTGGTCTAAGAAAAGAACACAACATACCTTTGGGTTTGCTGGACTGAGGGGGAGGTGGGGGAGGAAGGTTGTTAAGGTTCACTTTGAGCCCATCACCTAGACTGGAGCGCCTCTCACGCGCTGGAATGGGGATAATACTGTCTTTGGTCATGACCAGACTTGGAGGTCTGGAGCGGTTCTTCTTGTCAGGTGTGCCCTGGTGACAGAAAATGGAATTAATTGTGATAAAGTTGCTTTACAGGATATATATAGAAAATATGAATAATTTTGGAACGTTCAAATGCAGATAGTATTATTTAAGATGAAATTTTGTACCTGTCTCCGGATTTCAACAGCAAAACTTCTATTACTTCTGTAATAAACTACAAAGGAATTTTCTTGATTTGAAGAAACCCAAACTATTGACATAAATGCTGTCCTCCAGCTTGTTTACACATCTAACACACTGACACACCTAACACACTTACATCTCCAATCCGGCTAGTACCTGTGACTTACTCTGTTGTCCAAGGGTGCTTTCCCAGAGATTTAGATCGATCTAGAGATTAAGATTTAGATCGACCTAACTCCCTGGGGGTTCACGCTAAATTGCAGTGAGCCGAGCGGGCACCATAGTTAATTACCCCCTTACAGCTTTTAGTAGGCAGGACAGACGCTTAAGCCGGCTAAGCTGGCAGTAATCTAGTGAAACTCCCCGCAGGGATAGATCGATCTAAAAATCTATGGAAATGGGGTGCAAGTTTGCCATCACACCCACTGTCACATCTAACACACTCACTGTCACACCTAACACACTCACTGTCACATCTAACACACTCACTGTCACACCCAACACACTCACTGTCACACCCAACACACTCATGTTGACTTACTCTGTCTTCCAGCTCATCATCACTGTAGTCCACAGTGTCAAGTGTGTTCTCATCAGAGCTGACCAGGTCCCAGTCAATGTTCACATTCTCAAACAGCTTTGTCTTCCCCTCCAGAGCATGCTTCAGCTGCAACCAGACAATGTCAATACTGGCATCTTATTCACACTGAGAAAAATACCCCAAGTTGTCACCATAAGCTGCCCACGCCCCTCCCGCACCCATGGTCACTGTCATTTAAACTGGGATAGATCCCCTCTGGTGTCATCCTTAAGTTAGGTTGGCACATTTTCATTGAAAACAGGCCTCAGACCTCCCCCCCTCTACTGTGTTCTTCCACTACATCTTACCAAGTCTATACAGTGCTCATTGTTCTCCTCCCGTGCAATGTCCATCGCTGTGCGGCCATCTTTGGTTTCCACCGATGCCAGGGCGGGGCATGCTCGCAACAGTAACTTCATCTCCTCGGTTCTGTTTGCCTGGGCACAGTAGTGGAGGGCCGTATACCCATCCCTGGTGGCCATGTCTAAATTACGACTGAAAAATATAAAACATAGTGTAAAAGTGTATTCTGACAATCAATTGACATTTATTAATAATTTAACTGTAAATTGTATAAATCTATACATGGATCAGAATTAAGTGGTAAACAATGTTCTCTCCACCAGCTTAAAAATTTATACCAAACTGAAAATTTGGCCCATACAAAGAGACAAATTGTTGTATAAATTCTAATGCACCTTTAACCTAATAATCAAAATCCTCAAAGAAAATGCTTCATAGTTATTTTCTTCCCTGTGATCATTAATTTTTCTTCATTTTGATCAGTTTCTGGTTCTGTATTCTAATGTGTTCTGTATTCTCTACCATACATATGTATAGCTATACTTTACTTGTTGGTATTCTGGATGACAAAGTCTGCAATATGTAGCGACATTCCATCTGTCTGTTTCACTGCTAAATGGAGAGCAGTCTCTTCATCTTCCTAATATGATAGAATAAAAGAGGTAATATGTCTCAGTCACTGGAATATTTTCACCAATGACAGGCCAAACACAGACATATACACACACATTACTGTTAAAGTGGTCCCCAGCCTCGATGTACTCAGTGTCACTATGCCATCACAACATTTTAATACAACTTAGCAATAACATCCATTTACTGAGATTATTTAATCACGCACTCCAAAGAAAAACCCAATAACCTGAACAGTTTAAAGCAATGGAAACAAACAAAAACCTACCACAGGTTTATATTTCCAATCTTAATTTCTTTTTGACAGGCGTGTGAAAACACAAAACTCTATTTGGCATTTTTTATGTTACAACCAATGTCTACATCAATTCAAATTTCAATCACCAGCAAACAAGGTGCATATTATTTATAAACAGTAATGAACAGGGAACAACAACATAATACTCACAGTATCTGGTAAAACCGCCATCAGATCCTGTCCCTCCGCAAACACCTGTAACAGACCATAGATGTCAGCACTGAGCACTGCCTGTTTCAGGTCCAGCTTTAGGTCCTCCATCGTCAAACACGTCTTGATGGCGTAGCGGTGGCGCTCGTATTTGGCACGGATAAATTCCTTCCTCTCCTCCCTTTTGATACAAAAAGATTAACAAATTGTTAAGCCAAACTCCTATCATATTCATAAATATTTTTGTTAAATTGTTAATAGGGCAGAATGCTTTTAAAGATAGTTTTGAAGCTGCATTTGTTGTGAGAAAAACCTATCACAGAGTCTAAGGAAAAAAATTACTGAAACGATCATTTAGTTATTTTAATGATGTTTTAGCAGACAGAATCCATACTACATTGACATTATAAATATCATAATATTTTGTTTTTGAAAGAATTCTTAAGTACACAGAGATAAAAGAGGACCTCTGAAAAAAATTTCAGGGATATTGCACACAAAGGTGTGCAGGACTACTTAGACTATGTATAGGGTCAGGGGGGGATGGAGCATCAACACAGCACCTAAATATTTGGATAAATCCAGAAAAACTTAATATTAAATTTAATACAGATGCACTTACATTGTACTTGTTGAAGTAGGTTTATAACTTGTATCTAATGTGGCCTCCATGATGTCGTTGAAACTTCTATTGCTAACCACCCGTGCAAGCTGAAATAGAGCCACAATGTGAGGAAGAAAGTTCTTCAAAGTCATGCCATGGTCACATACAAGCATAAATTCACAAATCAAAGGAAGCCTGGTCATTTTGGCCTTGTTGCATACCAAAAGTTGTTGCTCTTGCCTCCCTGAGGAGGATACAGCCTGGCTGCTGTATAAGCGTTCAAAGCTAGCAAACGTACCATTTCTCCAATGCCAGACGTGACCCCTGCTTCAACCACTGACACACTCACATCTAACACACTGCTACCAGATAATTCAACCCACCAGTAACTGTGATGTCCCAATCTCGTCTATGACTAAAGACTGCGTCCTGGAGATGTGGACGCCGAGGTCCCTGTGTATACCACAACAGTCAATACATATCAGGATACCCAGGTTGGTAGACAGCCATTCCGGGTCTGAAAATGATCAGAAAATCATTGACAACAATACTCATAATAACTGGTACTGATAACTATAATATTAAAGGAATCATTTTTATGTTAGAAAAATCAAGTTTTGTTAGTCCAGTAATTTGACTGCCTTAAGCAAGAGTTCCCACAGAATTAGCGTGTACTACCTAGCTGGTACTAAATCATTCTAAACTGCCCAAAATGCTGGAGAGACTCTCTGGCATAAATACATTTATTTACTTTTTTAATATTCTTAACACTGTTATCTTCACCTATACAGTTCATAGAAATAATCCATCTCTGTGACCTGTGTATCATATTAGACCATATATTCAGAACAGCAGACTCACAGATCCGTGGATTAAATATGGCGACCCACTAAAAAGCTTGCCACTTAATTCCTGGTTGTACACTGAATAGATTCCCGCGGGGATTACGCGACTAGCATTCAAGTGGGTCGGCCATATTTGATCCACGGATCTGTTAATTGGCTGTTCTGTTTGCACTCTTACAGGTGTCAGTAGTAATAACACCTACTGACCTTCAGCGCCGCAATCACAGCAGTATGCGTTTCCCGGCAGACGACGTATCTGGTCTATAATAGAGCGGGTCAGTTCGCGCAGGTGCCCGGACCCTGTGGAGTCCCCGAACGCCTTCATGAGAATTTCCTCCTTGGCATTGTTCAGGACGGCTATCCACCTGTAGGAAGATGAAGAAAGAACATGTTGAAATACACAACAACACCAGTTTGTTTGACTTAGGACGAGTTACTGCATTTCTGAAAGCCCTGTCGCCCACGGGTTCATTTTTATTATGTTTTTTTTTTTTTACATTCATCCTTCAAAGTTTTTCTGCTATCAGTGTTGCTTTTGCATCATCTATTCTAATTTTAAACCAAACTCTTTAATATTGTATTTTAAAAAATGGGAAAATATTAAACTGATTAGGCCAAATTCAAAACTGATATTGTGGGATTGCTCTGACTGTCGGGAACTGTGAAATCAAGTGTAATTTTTTTTTTTGCTCTTATGAAATAATTGATCTAGTTCTCTGCAGGAAACAGTTTGCTTGGTGTATTTGTTCTCTTGGGAAGATTTCGACAGGAGGAAAAGGAAAAAGCACTTACTCCTCCATGTCTGCCGTGTCTTCTGCCTGGAAATGGTAAGTTCTGTTATCTGCAATAAAAACAAGTACATGTTTCTTTACAAAAATACCAGTGTTTTGCATTTCGCTAAAATCTACTCTTCTACAGCAAACTAAGGCATACATGCAGAAAGTGAAAATATTCCTTATTTCTTTTTTTCTAACCCTTAAATGAGGTTTTGCAATTGTCCTTACACTTCTTAAAACAAAACAATCTATTACTGTATAGAATTCATTAACAGTAAAACATGGGACTTTTTCAAGAATTATAATAAATTTTTATCATAGACAGAGTCAGTAACTACATCTTTTTTCTTGTAAGTTAAGTAATTTTTTTCTTGTATGTAAAGAAAGTACCCGTCTCAAAACCACTGTATGCCCTAGGCTATTCAAATAAAGAACACCAAGTCAAGAATATTGTCTCCATACTCACTTGAACTGGAGATGAGATCAAAGCACTTCTTGGTCGGATCATCGAGCACCAATTTAGCCTGACACGTAAGCAGGTTCAGCCGCACAGGGTCTTTACTTTCCTGGGGAGAAGAGAGAAAAACATATCAAACATATAGATAAGTTAAGTTGTGACTGCATGAAGTTTAAATAAATCCCATTTCTAGGCACTTTATTCATATTCGGCCTTCGGAAATAGAAAATCCTCTCTGGGATTAATTAATGAGTTGTTCTTGACTGTGCTACAAATTACAGCCAAATTCTAATCGCAATTTCCTGCAAGGTTGTACATTATTCCTGAAATCTTCTTGGCCAGCAAGCATCCCAAATACCTGCTTATGACCACACATTAATCCCTTTATACAACACCACATTACACAATGCTAATACCTGATTGGCTGAAGAAATGTCACCTGACCAAAATACTCACATCTGAGTGGCTGACGGACATGATCCCACTCTGTATGGCCACTCTCCGCCTCTGCCAAACTTTCCTCATTCTCCCCTCGCTCTTTTTCAGTAAGTGTCCCTTCTTCTCTGTCCCCAGGGTCTTGTTCCCCAGGATCTGGGGAAGGGCGTGTGTGGGATGGGTGCTGCCCAGGACAGGCTGGAAGTGAAACAAGAAATAATACACATCTAAATAATTATCAGCGAGTAATGCTGGTGCCAACGAACAACCCCTGAGAAAATTGGTCTCATTTTATGTTCATTTATGGTTCCCAATCTACTTTAGAGTATCTGGTGTATTTTTATTTATTTATTTATTATTTTTTTACAGTTCTAATGTTGTTCTATAATGAATGTAACAGCTCGAGAACTGTTTTTGGGAAGTCCTTCAGAATGTCCTAGAGCAGGTTAAGAACATCTTTCATTTAAATAGAAAAAACTGTGTTCTACGACAGATTGAGAACCGTAAGTGAGCATTAAATGAGACAATTTTTTTGCAAGGGAACTCCACTACCATCTTCAGTTCCAAATCAAAAAGTGTCTTTCTTCAATTTCAATCAGATATTTATAACAAATTGCCAGTCAAAATAACAATCTTTCACATGTAGCTATTTCACTTTCCGCTGAGAAACTCTGGAAGATACCACTCACACACACCTTATGAATGCCAACACATCTTTTACTTTTGACTTCATTCAAGTATGTGTGAATAGAATACTTCCATAATCACTCAGCTTTGAACCCAAATAAACCATATCATATAAGTACTACAGAGCTGGGTACATGAGACACAGTGTACTAACAATTATTTTTTTATCTTGTATCAAGTAAAAAAAAGTACTATGTCCAGGAACAAAAGATCCTTTCATTTTTTGTTAATTTCCTTTCTCTCTCATTATCTAAGATGTGGGGCTCTCTTTACAAATAGCAACACAGAAACATGCTGGCTCCACAAGGCTGCATTTAGCAGTAACAACCTAGGGTCACAAAATAGAAAAACATGTCACAGGCAACAATATGGCATAATGAAAGGACAGAACTGTGAATAGGACATCATCTGGCATGTTTCAGGACAATTCCCAGACCAAGATAAACCTGGTATGAACGCAGACATGCATAAGCCCGAGGATGTCAAGACAGACATGCATGTACACGACAGAGAATGCAATGCACATGCGCAGCCATCTACAATCTTAGCTCTAATAAATGAAAACTTTACAACAGAGCATACTAACTTGGATGTACAAAGCTCAGTCTGGGCACTGAAAACTAGTGTATAAAACGCAATGTTTGGATCACATACATGAAATGTTTTAGGCACATACACAGTTAATGTGTTGTCCTGCGCTATTGCTGATCAGGAAGCAAGTTTGCTCACAATGAGGTTTAAAGTAGTGCTGAGATTATGTACTATTAAAAAAAAATTCAGTAGAAAGTTGGAATTTAACCTAAAGACTGAAAATTTGGAATTCTTAAAAGGATACTCTGACCTTTATCTAAATCAGTATCTAGATGAACAGGACTAGGTCATTTTTACATCGAGGGAGAATATAAAATGCCTTGAAACAAGAAATGAAACATTTCTATCAACATGTTTACTTAAATCAAGTGGACTATCAGGTTTATCTCATTCTGGGATCAAAGTAGGCTAAATTTCCAGTCTGTACGTAATTCTACTTTTAGACTTACACCCACAGACACCTTCCCTCTGCATGGATCCACCCCAACTCTGCAGGGACTCTCGCAAAGTACAATCAGCTTAAATGAAAGACGCGCCTCTCTTTCTTTCCAATATACTCGTATAATCACCAGATTTTCTTTATTCTACTTAATGCCAGGAGGATGCGTGTTATTCAGTTGAGCTGATTGCACTCAGCGAGAGTTCCCACAAAGTTGGGTTGATCCATGCATTAAGGGTGTCTATGGGAATGGGGCCTAAGTCCGCTCTCTGGTAAAAAGTCTCCCATGATGATGACTGGATGTACTAGGAGTGAAACATAAACCACCAGCTTTACGACCATGCACACACGCATGCACATGCAGGGAATACTCACTGCGAGGAGCACAGAAAACCGATGGCTGTTTAATTTGGTCAGCTGGCAACAGAAACACGGAAGAACAGAGTGTTTAGCATCCAAGCAGAATGGAGTGGAGAGGAAGATATGCTTACTGTGACTTTTTACCTTGGATTACTATCTGATGTATAACATGGTGCTGGGTTTGGTAGTGGTTTGGGTTGAGACAGAATTTAATGTCACATTGTGTTAGTTATGACAATGATATAAATGTGACAGTGTGTTAGGTGTGACATTGTGTTAGCTATGACAATGTGTTAGGTGTGACAGTGTAATAAATGTGACAGTGTGTTAGGTGTGACATTGTGTTAGCTATGACAATGTGTTAGGTGTGACAGTGTAATAAATGTGACAGTGTGTTAGGTGTGACATTGTGTTAGCTATGACAGTGTGTTAGCTATGACAGTGTGTTAGGTGTGACATTGTGTTAGCTATGACAGTGTGTTAGGTGTGACAG